AGGCCTTTGAACCAGTTTGCTATAAAACACAAACACTTGGCTTTTCCAAGAGGAGCTCAGGCTGATATGTTGGTGATAATCAGTTTATGATTTTTATCTCCTTCCTCAAATGTGGATCAAAAATGTTCCAGAAAAGAGCAGATTGAGTCATTATTAGACAGTAAAAATGCCAGTGTTAAAATCTCAGGTGTAGTGTTAAATAAAGAGTGAGTGTTGTTTTGACACCACACAGCTTTTAATCAACACTGCAATATCCATATTATTTGCGTTATTAAATTCCAGCGCTACATTCTGTTGTCAGTCGATTGATACGGATTCATTTTGTACAATTCTTTCCTAAATGTCAGTTAAATATTTATACATGAATATTTTTGTTGGAAATGTGCTTTTTAGTTTGAGTGCACAATATTTAACTAATTTTTTTTATGGAAAATCCACCAAATTCAAGGTCCCGTCGTTTTGCCAAATCTGGGCTAACGGTAAATTTGAATCTGAATCTCATTGAGGTGATTTTGTCGAGTTATCAATTCTGTTATATTTGGTAAGTTCTAGTATATATAAGTTTATGGATAAAACTTGTATATATGTATTATTTGAAATGTTGGTGCTATGTGTATATCAAAAGCTAACTTTGCAAACGACTAGCCAACGAGGATGTGGGGATGTTTTTTTTGTTAATTCTATGGCGAAGTTGTTCGTTACCTCAAGGAAGCAGTTCATTTTCCGTAAGGTTACTCTCAAAATAAAAGTTTTTAATCCAACGTAAATGTTGGCTTAAAAACAACATTTTTTAATCCACAGAGAGTCGAATGTGTTCAACTCTTTATATAATTTATGGACTCATTGTGGCTGTTGTCTGGTTCCTAGGGAAGGCTACATTCTTGAGAGGGAACGCAAAAGAGAGCGAAAAGAAATAAATCCCCATGTCCACTAGAGGGCGCCGTAGACTGTACCAGTAGCGAAGCAAGAGCATAAAATGCTACGTCACGGCTAGCTGAATCTGACTAGCTAGCTGGCTCAACACTCTAGCTTGGATGAAGTTTATATAGTTGACAGAGCTAACATGTTCAAAGTGGAAGTGATAAAGGGTTGGTTTTAAATATCTGTAAGGTGGCAAAGCTCGGACCGTAGCTTTTCAAACAGCATCAAGAACAAATCCACAGGTGAAGCTGCTGCCTTAAATAGTCCCAGCTGTGAAGAACCAAACACCTTTAAGTCTCTGAGGAATAAAATACCGTTTACCAAACACAAACATCTCTATTTACTTTTTATAAATATTTCATGTTTTATCCTTACACCATAACCACGATAATAAAACACCATAAAAACCCACAAACAATCCCCCTCCTCCTTTTTTCCATGGCCTCACATGAACCTATAAATGGTGTCTGGACCCCATTGAAGCTTTTGTCCAAACAACCTGGAGAAAAAGACAGGTGAGTCTCAGCTCCTCCACACTAAACAGTTTATGCATAAACATGAACTGTTTCTGTATGAACACAACATTTCTGCTCAGCAGAGAGATGCTGTTGGGTAGAGCAGCTCTCTGCTCTGAGTTACCATCATCCTCCCTTCAAAGAAAATGACCTTATTTCTCAGAGCTGAGCCCTGAACAAAGTGCAGAGCAAAAGGCATGGGATTTCTCAGAAGTTTACTGACTTCTCAGTAAACTACTGAAGCATGGATCTGGTTCATGCTTCAGTAAACTACTCAAAAGGCTGCATGCTAACTAACCACTAAAAATACTCAATAAATACAGTTAAAACTCCTTGTGTCCAAATAGTTATCGATGTACAAATCTATGCTTAAAGTGCTAAATAAAGTGCTTTTAAAGTGCTGTACAGTGACTTAAGTAAAATATTTCCAGTAATAAAAAGTAAAAACCTGTTTAAAGAAACACGTTGACATGTTGTGGGAGAAAGGTCTGTTTGTTTCTGACTTCAGGTCCAGGTTATGCATAACAGGAGGATGTTTACAGCAGCTTTATTTTATCTTTATCATAAGAAGCTACAAACTGTAAAATATGTAAAGACCTGATGCTGCAGAGGCTGGATAAACAACACAAGATAAAAACTCAGAACAAACTCTGGATAAAAATCATCATCAGATCTATAATTTGAATAGTTTAGAAAAAAAAGAGGAAGTAATGAACCTCTACAGCCAAGTATTTCTACAGACTGATGCAAAACCAAGAAAAAAGCAGCAAAGCAAATATTTATATTATTCTACAGGTTATAATCCACATCTTATTTACGATGTTTTTGTCATGAGGAGGAAAGGAACAAAAGGTCATTGCAGAAGAAGTTCCAACATGTAGTAAAGTGTTTCCATCACCCACAGGCTGATCTCCTCCGTGTCACGATGCATTGATGCAGTAATTTATACCAGAAGAGGCTCAGCCAAGAACTGAGTGCAGAGAAATGTACAAACCTTTAGGAAACCTCACATTTGTGCTTAAAACACCTGTTTATGATTGATCTAATAACATATTATTTTCTTTTTGGAGGAAATATTTGCTTTAGTTTCATATTTTAAATGTTTTTGGTTCAATTGGTGCCTTTAATAAATGATGTGTGTCACTTTGGCCACTTTAAAGGTTCATCAAGTCAAACTCAACTGTTGAGTTTGAGTTGTACTTAAACAACTACAACCTACAGCTTTTGTAGGTTGGAAATGTTTAACAAATACATGCAGTAAGACAGACAGGATGAGGGGGTTTTATGCATGAACTTCACCACGTTGAGCAGTAAACCTGCTGAATCTGCATGAGCGGTTACCAACCATGGTTATGAGGCGTGGCTTTCAGCTATGAGAACCAAAAGCAGTTTCTCTTTCTGTGTCAGAAGCTTCAGCCACAAGACATGTGAGTTCTCTGTTTCTCCTCTGTAATATTTAATTAATACATCAGGTTTTATAAATAACTATTAGTTACTGTGTTGATTTTTACCTTCAGGTTTAATTTAATACATTTAATGTATTTTTTGATAGAAGAAAATAAATCTGTCTCTAATCAACCTGATCTGATCCAGAACATTAAGGAATAAAATTATGTTGGTAAATTATATCTTATTATAACATTTCTATAATTCACACATTGATGTAAAATTCAGTAAAGTTTCCTAACCTGCGCAAAAACCCTTTTGGTGACAGATCAGTTTGTTGTTCGTCAGTAAAGGAAAGTCATGATGCTGTGGGTTTAATGACTTTGGTGAATCTGTTGCTCCTGTGTGATGGCGCCCCCTGCTGTTCATGGCTGGTGTTGAAATATCAAAGGGCCTCAAGTCGGGGCTGACAAGTCAAGTTTAGAAGAAAGCATGTGAGGAAGTGACGGAGTGAGGTGGCAGTGAGGTGGCGGGAAGACGATTCAAAGGCTCTTTTCGAAAGTGGAGGGAGTCGATGGGGGAGAAAAACAAATAACATCGTAATTGGAAAAGGCGGTTTGAGCATAAACTGGAATGTGAATGGTTCGGTTGGTAATGGAGATAGGAGATGAGGAAGACATGGACTTTGATGGGTGGATGTCAGTGGGGAGAGGAAGAGGGAGAGGACATGGAAGAAATAAAATAGATGAAGGAAAGGGAATTGGTGATATTCAAGGACGTAAACGAGAACTGGAAGGAAGTAGCTCAGAGGAAGAAAGGATAGTTAGGAGGAAAGTTGTGTGGGAGGAATTTAAAATAATATTAAAACTTAAGAAAGAGGAAGGACAAGATAATATCAGCCCCATTGTGGTGTCAAGAGAAATAAAAAAGAAAATTGGAGATGTTGAAATGGTGAAGATTTTGAGAGATAGAAACCTATTGGTAGTTTGTAAAAATAAAGAACAAAACAATAAGGCTCTAAATGTGGAGAATATGTAAAAAAAATGTGTTGGAGAAAAGAATCATTGGAGAAAATGAGAAAGTTTTCAGTTGAAAAAGCAAGAGTAATGATATTTACTCAGAAAAAAATAAACAAGGAAGTAAAATTAAAATGATATAATCAAGAATGAGAGCAAGTAAAGTGTATAAAATTTTTAGGATTATGGTTTGATGAAAAACTAAAATGGAATTGTGGCCCGACCAAGGGGCGGGGTTTCTTTTATTTATAGGACTCACCAGAACACTGTTTAATAAACTATATACAATAGTTTATTGAACAATTTCTTTAAAACACTTCTCTTTTTAAAAACACGTTTCAGGCGTACTACTTGGTCCCTGGAAGGGGATTCTGTGAAAATAAGAACAATTTAAATCATTCCAAAAGAAATAAATTGATAAACAAAACATGCCATGCAAACACCATCCCACCACAGAATGTACATATTCAAAAAGTTGTAGATAAATGTAAGAAAATCTTAAATATTTTGAGATGCTTGACTGGCAGTGACTGGGGAGCGGATAAGCAATCCTTAAAACGATTTTATAAAGGTATGATAAGTCACCTAAAATATATGATTCCCCGTCATAACTCTGGCAAATAAGGAGCAAATGCCACCAAAATCACAGGATTTATTGTTGATCATGAGAGGAATAAACAGAGAAAAAAACTTGCTGGTAATTTGAGTTGTTCCCATATTATGGAGGGGGAACAGATTATTTCAGGCTGCTGAATTATCCATTCTTTCCTCTCCTTACCCCATAACCTTGGGGAATAAAGAACAACTGTTTCCAAATTCTCAAAAATCTTTACATACACGCTACGTGTTGGGAAAACTGTGTTTGGTGCCTGACTTTTATTTCTGTCATGCTTACGTGAGAGAAGTTGGAAAAGAGCGATTCTCTTGGTGTTTAAAATGACACAAAACAGCAAGACCTCGTTTATTTATTTATTTTACAATTTTTTAAACAACAGCTGCCAATTAAACTGAATGTTACAACCTTGACATGATTATATGAGTTTTACCAAGAAATCGATCGGAAGTGACGTGAAAATGGTCACATCCGCCTCTGGCTGTAATGTGTGCTCCCGACAGCGGAACCGAATTTCGGACAACAGCTCTATGCACCTTAAAGTTGCTTGCGATCCGCCATAATAGAAAAGAAGAAAGAACAAATCAATCTGACTTAAAGTCAAGTTCTACGTCATGATGATCGCTGCCTTGATTATCTCGGTTCTTTTCCTTACATGTGGATCTGCATCAACAGAAACAGGTTAGTTAGCAAAGAACAGCTAAGCGCTGCCAAGGCCTATTGTTTTCTTGCTGTCGGTTTAATGTAAGATGGCGCCTGTGGTGTGTTCACCTCCCTGAGTTCGTACAATCTTATTGCATGAAGGTTTCGGTGCAAAGGTCATTTCAACTTTTAATTATTAAATATTTGCTGTATATTAATTATTTTCTCTGCGTCATGTTTGCAGAAAAACATCTGTTTCTGTGTAGCAGCGATGATTCAGAAACACTCCGTTAACAAAGATGTTTAGTTTCAGTTTAAGTTTAAGAAACAAAACATCTAATTTGTTTCTCGTGTTAAAATTAACATAAAAATGTGTTAATTTTTTAATAATTAAAACTTCGCTCAGATTTCTGCATGACTTTTAAACTAAAACTAAACTTTAAGCTAATTAAGCGTCTGCAGATCAAAGTGAAACGGAGTGAAATGGAGAAAAATAAAATGTTTCACTTTTTATTTTCCTCCATTTTGTGTTTCATCTGGACGCCATATAGAAATGATGTTCATTTATAAATATCATGTGATCAGAGATCAATAGTAACTAGTTACATTTACTCAGTTACATTAACTTGAGTAACTTTTTAGAACAAATGTACCTTTAGTTGTTTTTATTACTTTTTACTTTTACTTGAGTTTTTTTATTATGACGTTTTTCTAACTTGAATCAAATTTCTGGATTTTCTACCCACTGAATAAAAACCAAACATGTTTTAACCAAGAATTAAACACAAACCTGCAGTTTTTGTTAAAGATGATGTCCAGCATCCTGCTGCTCCTCATCCTCAGCTCATGTCTCTGTGGTCAGTCTCCATCTTGTCTTTGTGACAGAAAGCTCTCTAGATGGAGCTGAAAGACTCCCATGTTCCAGTTCTCAGTGTGTCTGCTCCTCTCTTTCCCTCTCTGTCTCCTCAGCAGCAACATTTGTAGTGAATGTGACACAGAGCAGCTATCAGGCAGAGGAGAAGCAGAACATCACTCTGGAGTGGACCTTCACCACCAAGACTCAGGGAACCTGGAAGAATCTGTTCATTATCTGCAGCTTAGAGACTTCTGATAAAGAACTAGTTCTCTATGAGGTTAATGAAGGAGTTGAGATTCCAGAGTCTCAGGATGATCAGTTTTCAGGACGAGTCCAGAGCGACAAAGACGTCCTCAGAGAAGGACGAATCAGACTCCATGTGTCCAGACTGAGGACTGAAGACTCTGGTCTGTATCTGTGTGACGTGAAAACTGAAGATGGATTCAACTCTGGAAGATGTCGACTCAACGTTACTGGTGAGTTATTTGGGGTTTATTTTACTTTCTATTAACTTTTTATGTCTTTATTGAGCATAAATGAAACTATTTATTAGTGAAATGTTTTAGCTTCTCTTTATTAAAGCTCATGTTTGATCACATCTCTAAGCTCTAGAGGTCAGAAGGTCGACCTCAGCACAGAGTTGTGAATTCAGCTGATCTAATAGATGAAAACTGATTCTATCATAATTCTTCTGAAGCCAAAAGTGCAACATCTTAATTTTATTTCATTATTAAAGTGAAACTGTGAAGATAAAAGTTAAATTGGTACAAGGGATAAATTATCTACAGTTTCTCTGCCAGCTTATATCATCAGTAGAAACATATTTAGTATCTTCAGTACTTGGGCCAGTTCCAGTCTATGGGGCCACTGGCCCCTTTAGATTCATCCTGAGTACGGCCATGTAAAGGACTGGACTGATGTAACAACACATTTCCACAGGCTGATGAAAGTAAAGGGTTCAGTGGATTTTCTACTGAGAGCAAAACATGCAGCACTTCTATGTTCATCTGTAAGCAAATATCGCTCCACAACCAAATGCTCAGCTGGAAGACAATAAACAGCAGATGATACATTTCATTCAATGTTTCCCAACAAATAAAATGTAGTGGCATCAAAACCTGCTGTGCATCAGAGCCTCCAGTCCAGGCTGGTTTGGTTTAGTGACCTGCTGCAGTTATTATAATCTGAATCTGATGATATTCATTCATGTCCTGAACTGATGCAAAGTTTCCCCCCATGGACAGACAGTTTCTCTACAGACATAACAATTAGAAGTAGCTGGATTTCTTCAGCAAGGAATAAAATAAATTAAGATCACAATGTTACTGGAAATCACCTCGACTCTTGACCAAGTCATGGGTTTCTGAACATATTGAAAGCAGCAACATTAGGTGGCGCTCTTGCACCGTTTCTGTTGGGATTTTTGTGACAATCTTAAAATATGTAAATTTCCAGAAGGTTTGATGCGTCTGCCAAGTTTGGTGAGTTTTCAATATAGTAAAACCAAATCAACTAAAAGACTGTTAAAGGGAGTCCTGACTATTTTCTCCAGTAAAATATCTGGTTTTATTTTTCTTGAGTTAAACATCAGTAATTTTACAGAAGTAAATAAAAAATGATTGGATTTACATTTATAACAAATTAAAAAAAACATTTATTTTGAAAAACCTCTATTAATGGGATAGATTCATTGTTTCACAATTGTAAAGATCCTACAGGAGAATAAGTATGAATGTTATCTGAACAACAAACAGGAATATTAGTGTTTATTTATCATTATCTTTGTTTATTCTTCCAGTTCCAGTGAAGGTTATTGGTCATGATTTGATTCATGCAAAGGTTGGAGACGACGTCATTCTGCCATGTCATCTGGAGCCTCCATTAGACGTGAACATACTGACAATCGAATGGAGATTCAAGGATGAAATAATCCATGTGCAACGCAGCCAAACTAAAGATGATGGAGCTTCAGATCCAAAGTACATTAACCGAACCTTCATGTTCCCTGATGAGTTTAAAAAAGGCAACATTTCCCTCAAATTGACCAAAGTAACCAAGGAGGATGAAGGGAATTATATTTGCTTTGTTCCCAAACTGCAAAGTCAAGTCAGGAAGGGAAACGTTACTCTAATACTTGGTGAGTTATATAAAATTAAGATCATTAAGACAAACTAGAAAAATATATTAATGTCTATAACTCTTAATGTAATTATTCAACAGATGAAGGCGACTCGACTGATACTGGAGGTAAATATGTTTAACTAGGTAACCAGTGGTTAGTGGCCCTCTGACTCAGTTTCAGACTTTCTTTGTTACCTGCAGCCATTGAGGCTCATTGGGTTGAATATTCATCTTCAGGCTTTTCCTGTTATAACATGTTGATGTTCAGCTGGGCAGATAAAACCTGAAGACCTGTGTGTGTGTGTGTGTGTGTGTGTGGGGGTGTGTGTGTGCGTGTGTGTGCGTGCGTGCGTGTGTGTGTGTGTGTGTGTGTGAGAGAGGTGCAGTAAATGATGAATGATGAGGTGACTGTTTATTCACAACTTTGATCTCATTAATAAAACAAAAAGAGAAAAAATCTAATTCAAAATATTCAAAAGCGGATTGTTAAAAACATTTTTCTTTCTTGTAACAGGACGTCCTGGAGTTATTGGTGTTGTTGTTGTTGCACTCATCTTCTTCTTCACCGTCATCATCATCGTCGTCATCATAATCAAGCGATCTCAAATCCAGCGTGTTCTACGTCACTACAGAGGTGAACAAAGTCAGTCTTTGTCTTTTTAAGTCATGCAGGATTTTGTTAAATTAATAATTATCTCCATACATGCAAATTTCCAATTGATAGAAAATACCAATTTATTTTCTATCATTTGCAAAAACTGATCTGAAGCTAAATAGAAGTAAAACTCTTGATAAACATGAATAAGAAAAGTTTCACATATTTATCAATATCTATTGATCTTTGATGAGAAAAGAAAAGAAAACAAGAAACTAAACCATTATTAGTTTCCTTTTTTCTCTTTTGGTCTTTGTTGTTTATTGTAGCCTTTCTGTCTGATCAGGTTGATTAATTATTTGTACCAGTTAAAAACTGATAAGGAGAATTAAATATTGTCGCCTCATTTATATTGTGTGTTAAGATAAATATTCACTGTTTACAGTTTTTCCATGTTGGAGCAAAAACTCTCAACATGAACCAGAGAGAAATGATGGAGGTATGGAAATGGATCAATTCCAGATTAATAACTTATGTTAATTATTTCCTGTTTTATTTTCCTGCTCAGTGATAAACTAAGCAGTTACTTCATATAGATGTATGAATGTGTTTGTGTTGCTGCAGTCACTGAACATCACAGCTGAGCATCAAACCAGGAAGCTGAACTTCCTTGTTAGTGACTGAATGTGACTGACTAGATATTAGATCATTGATGTAGCAGCAATGAACTGGTGACCTGACTGGGTTCATCATGGCTCACCAGTATTCCCACTGACCTGAACAGGATATGAAGGTTTAGACCAGAGGGTCCAACCTGTGGATCCAGACGCACTAAAGAGAAACAGCCAGAAAACAACAACATTCATTCATAAAATGCTACAAATTAAACTATTATTTACTGCACATAACTCAGATTTTCTCTTCTTTGTTGTGTTTTCTTCAACAGAGAAGCTGATAGCTAATAAATCATGTTTAAGATTATAATTAGAGCTTAATGAGAGACATTTCTTCTACCTTCATTAAAGTTATATTCTTTTAATCTGACATCTGAATATACATTAAATATTCAGTTTAATATGACCATGTTTACATTTTATTGTAATATGCTTTGGTTTCTGGATTGTTTTATTTTTGTCAACAAACATCTGGAAACAAATAAGAGAAAAATAATTTTAGAAAAAGTCAAAACTTTAATGCTTAAATTTATTTTGTACTGTACTTTATAAAAACTAAAAATGACAAAATTCTGTTTTTATTCAAGTCATCTTAATAATAATGTAACTTTGGGAAATCAAACAATCAGATGATGTTATTAATGAAATGTTTTGTGTTTTATAGATCATAGAGAAAATGTCAATCTAGACGATGAAGCTGAAGGAAAACCTTTACAGGATCAAGGAAAACAAAACCAAAGTGAATCTTTCACTTGATCTAAAGTCTCTTCAACAATTTGGTATGAAAACTGTTACATGTATATAACTGTAAATAATAATAATATAAACCTAGAAGGAAGCCGTTCATATTAGCTAAAAGATTTAATAATCGTTTTTTAGATTAAAATAAACGATGTAAGAATCATGTAAGTTAAAGAACATCTCAAGTCCAAAGATGTTTCTGTAGTTTAGTTTCTTACTCAGCTTTTGATAAATTATTTGTCTTGAAAAGTTTTTTTTAATTCATTCAAAAGTTGACAGATTTGATTTCCAGCTTGTGCCTTCAAAAGGTTTTTATTTAATTTCTGTCAGTGAATCTTATTTTTAATGCTCTTATTACATGAATAACCCAATATTTATATATTTTATTATGACTTGCTGGGTAGTTTTTTAAATTTTTTAAAAACTTCTAGTTGTAAGTTGTTCGTTTGTCCGAGACTCTGTTAAACTGCTGTTGTCACATTAAATATGTAAAAAGTCAAACTTTATACAACAAGTTATTATGACAACATTATTCAAAATGCTAAACAATAAGGAGCTCAAAACAAATCAGATTAAACAGTTAAAAAATACAGTATAAAATTAATACACATAAATCAGAGGGAACAAATGTGACTTTAACTTAGAATCATTCAAAAACATGATTGTCTGATGTCTTGAAAGCAGACATGATGATGAGGCACAAAAGGAAAAAACATTCTCTCCAGATGTTTTCCTCTGGTTTTAGGACTTTTTAAAAGGTCAGTGTCTTAAGATGGGAGGACATGCAGTAGGACATAAAGCTGCAGATCAGAAAACTTTCAGTCTTATAAATGAGCAGCAAAACGTTAAAGTCTGTTTGAACCTGAAGCAACCGGTGAAAAGATTACAGAAGTAGAAATGTGAGCATATTTCCTGGTTTTGGTAAAATGCAAGCAGCCACGTTTTGAACCGTCTGCAGATCCATAAAACTTTTCCTCAGTAACCAGAAAGCAGAGCATTGCAGTAACGATGCATGAAGACACTAATGGGTGGATAAGAACCTCTGCATTTTGATCAAACTTTAAATTCTCCTAAAAACATTTAAGTTTAGAGATGATCAAAGCCAGTCCTTGTTATCTCTGAAATGAGAAAGACTGAACCTCTCACCCACATTATTTACCTCATTCCTCCATTTTATGACAGTCATCAATTTTCAAAGTGAAATTGATGAATTTATTTAGTTTGAATGAAAAACATCTGAGATGTTGATGCTTTTTAACATTCATCATTCAAACATAATCTTTCTGCTATACATAGAAAAGGAGACCAGAACCAGAGAGACGAGGAAGGACCATCATCATCATCATCATCATCATCATCACTGTGGGACTGATAGTTATTTAGTTTAGGAAGAAAATGAGAAGAAGAAACCAAACATTTTGACCAAGAACATTTTTGTCTGAACTTTTTCTGTTTGACATATTTTAATAATGACTTTGAGTCGTTTATTGCTTTGCTTCAGATTCATGTTCTCAATACCTTTCTACAGACACATCATAATGGGGTTTTATGTCTTATAATAAGACTTACTTGAAGTTTTTATATGCAGCTGTTTCTTCCAGTGTTGGAAACTACTTTGCTATCAATCTTAAAGCATTAAGTTGACGATCTAGGCAATCTTTAGGGGTTTGAAATACTGATACATTTCAGTATTTGAAATGTATCAAATACTGAAATATTTGATACAGAAACAATGATCTGTTATTCTGTTACTCAGATGGATTTATTCTGTTTCACTTCATGTGTTTAGAGAAACCAGTGGTGACAACAGTGTTAGGAGTTTGTCCTGAAATTAACATGTTGTTGGTTCAAATCTGCCTCTTTCTTAGTGTCCTTGAGCAAGGCACTTCACCTGCCTTACCTGCCAGTGGCATCGACCCACAGCAGCTGCTGCCAAATTGCTGCAGGGCAGCAGAGGCTGTTATCCAGTATTGGTCACCATCAGTATGAATGGATGAGTATGAATGGATGAATGACTGAATGCAGAGTGAAGCATTTTGGATTCAACTGGACTTGAAACAGAGCCTTAAAGTACAAGCCATATTTAATGTTTTATGGAAATAGTAAATTAGAGCTCTAATTTATTATTTAAACATTCTCGTTATCAGTGTTGTATAGAAACAAAGTAACTTTCATATGAAAATTTTTGATAACTTTCACTTTACTTCACTACATTTCAGAACTTAATTGCTCCGCTTCATTTTCAATGTGTGGTTTAGTTACTCGTTACAAAAAAGTGAGAGAGAGAAACAAATGTTTAGACCCAACCTACTGATCGACTGCAACAAAGTCGGTAGCCGATTTGCCTGAGTTTGTTCATCTCCACCAATAGATGCACATGTTTCACTTCTCCCATTAATCACCAAGTTTACTAAAGCTCTCCCTCTTCAGATGCCAAATAAGCTGCATTTCCCTCCCAATTCTTTTTTCTTTTGTATAATGACCAGTTGATGCACCTATAGTGTGTGAAGTAGAGAAATCGTAACGGCTTTTTTTTTCTTCATGTTGGCCGCATTTTCTGTGCTATTTATTTTTCTCATTTTCAGCACTGATCTTACTGAAAGAAAAACTTAAGGCTTACAAACCTTGTATTTTCTGTCCTTCTTGTACTAAGAAGCAGGTTCATAGTGATGAGTCTGACGACACTGAAACCCGCGCGCATGCGCCGAGCAAACAAGGCCCCGTGTCGGCGCGCGTATCTCTTTAAGGAAAACCACGTGACCGATACAATTGCTGTGTCGTTTGGTTGTGAAGGCGCCAAATTGTATTTATAAACAGAAAATGTATCGACATGTTGGTGGGTTTTGTTGGATGGAGATAGTTTGTGTTGTTTGGCTTGTCAATGAAAATGATCAATCGAGGAAGAGGAAGTTTTCTCCCGTTTGATCATTTTGATCTTATCACGGAGAATAAGGTCAATTATTATTCCGTTCTCGTTTCCACTATTGATCATTCTTCTGTCGGGTTATTCCAATTTCTTTCTGAAGAATACTTTAATTAGTTTTACATGGATTAACTTTTATTTCTATTGTAGATTAAATGTATACAACAACGTGATTATACAACATCACGTTGTTGTATAAAATTGCACTAAATGTTGTCCTAAAAAAATCATTTTTAATACCAAAAGGTTCAAATTGTCCATTCTTGAACCTCTTACTATATTACGCTTTACGCAACTATATTTACTTTTTTAACCGGTTTGAGGTCAAGAAGGAAAATCCATACAGCCAATATGGACCAGCAAAAGCAAGAGAAAATTCCCTAAAGCTTTTGGGCAAAATGAAAATGCTTTAAAGTGAATAATGGCATTATATTCAAGTTTCATAAAAAGGACCAGAAACTATTAATGTGTCGCTTCTCCGATGAAGGAATATTGTCTGATTTGATGAATTTATGATCTAATTGCACTTTCAATTTTTAAAGATAGAAATACGTCAGAAGGAAGAAACTGCAGCATTCATCTCGGCTGATTTGCAAACAGTTAAAAAATAATAAAAAATACAACTCAGTTTTTTTTTTTGTTGTTTTGTTTTCTTGGCAATTGGCCCAAAGATGTTAACGCAGCTGATGTTTCTAAATAAAAATGTGTGAATGAACCTTGTTCAGTCTGTTTCCAGTCTTTATTGATGTTGCCTGCAATTACTATTTAAATCCAGCAGATGTCGCCATTGAGCAACACAGTTTCAACACAGTTTGGGAAATGTGCCACACACCCAATGAGGCCTCATCTGCCCTTCACTAGTATTCACCACGACGAGAGAATGGTTTTTGGTAAGCCCTTCTCTGTGGTAACCAAAAACAGCACAACAATAAAGAGATACGAGTAAAGGCTGGACCTCCTCTGTTCATTCAGACATTACAGCGCCCCTACCGTTATATGACCGCATGGTGTTGAAATAACAGCCTCAAGTCGTGGCTGATGAGTCATATCTTTGGTAGAGGCGTGTTTTATCAGTGATGTAAAGCCAAGTTCTTTACCACTTCTGGCTTGAAATCAAACTGAACCAAGGGCCTATTGTTCATGACTGCGCTGCTTTTTGCATGAAGGTTTTGGTTCAAAGGTCATTTCAACTTTTAGTTATTAAATATTTGATATAAATGCATATTTTCTCTGCGTCATGTTTGCAGAAAAACGTCAGTTTCTGTAACAGCGATCATTAGAGAAACACTCAGTGAACTAAGATGTTTAGTTTCACTTTGATCAAACATGTTTTTAACAGTTTTATCATAATTAAAACTTCTCTCTGTTTTCTGCATGACTTTTAAACTAAAACTAAACTTTAAGCTAATTAAGCGTCTGCAGATCTGATCAAAGTGAAACATTTTATTTCCTCCATTTTGTGTTTCATCTGGACGCCATATTGAAATGATGATCCTCTGTAATCATCACGTGATCAGAGATCAATAGTAACTAGTTACATTTACTCAGTTACATTAACTTGAGTAACTTTTTAGAACAAATGTACCTTTAGTTGTTTTTATTACTTTTTACTTTTACTTGAGTTTTTTTTATTATGATGTTTTTCTAACTTGAGTCAAATTTCTGGATTTTCGACCCACTGAATAAAAACCAAACATGTTTTAACCAAGAATTAAACACAAACCTGCAGTTTTTGTTCAAGTTTTATAAGTTTTTTATGGAAAGAAACTGATTTGGAAAAAAAAATCCTAATTTAGTTATTTTGTTGTTGCTTAAATAAATTATTGTCATTTTTTCCTTAAAATATCAAAAATTCCTCAAAACCTAATATTTTGGTTTTCTGATTATGTAATTTTAAATATTAAATGATTGATAATTTGATCAGTAACTTTTTACCAACATTATTTTATTCTGACTGGAGTATAAATATGTTGAAGTAGTGCTACTGCTATTGGAGTAAAATGTTTTGGTCTCTGCATGTGATAACTTGTAGAAATAATGTCTATAATTAATGTGTTTTATTATTTCTAACAGAGCATCAATGCTGAACCGGACCTCCTCGTCTCTCCTGGTTCTGATTCTGAGTTCTGCTGCTCTGGGTGAGAAATATGACTGAATGTTTGAAACTGAACTTTAACTCAGAGCATGAAGGACGTCTCAGGTTTCTAGGAATAATTAGCAGATCTGATATCACTGGATCTATTTCCTGTCAGTGTTTTGATCACAACTTTTCATCTGAGCCGTTAAATAAACTTTTACCTGAAGCTTCGTGAGAAAATGTTTTAAATTGTCTGTCAGCGTCTGAAACATCAAATCCTGGATATTTGGAGGTGTGATGATGCATCAGATTATCAGAACTACTTCATCAAAGTGTTTCTGAGGATTCGTGTTGTGATTTCTTGCTTCTGTCTCTTTCTGACTCCTGCAGGAAAATCTCTGCCCACCGTGAATGAAACTCTGGACGTCTACGAGGCCGAGGAGAACTCCAACGTCACGCTGAAATGGATCCGTCCGGATCCGAACGCCACGCCGCCTGACTGGCTCTACGTCGATCTGATGAGCATGGAGCCGCTGAGGAGGATTTATCGGTTCGACAGCAGAGATAAGACGTTCACAGATGATGAGTTCAAAGGTCGACTGCACTGTGACCCCCAGCTGGTCAGGAATGGAGGGATCCGGTGTCTCCTGGCTGAAGTGAGGCTCAGCGATGCGGGTCGGTACCGGTGCTACGTCGTCATTGACGGAAGAAGAGACCATAGAGACTGGGAGCTTGTAGTCAGAGGTGAGTTTTTACTGATAAAAATGGTTTAATCTTTATTTTCTGGTCTTTTTTATGTTTTCCACTTTATTTTTGGGTCTGAAAAGCTGCATTTTCATTACAAATGTTTATTACAAACTGTCTTTGATATTTCATAAATGAAAAAGATTAAAAAAAAGAAAATATTTTACAGATACAGTGTTTCCATTAAATAAGAAATACAATTAAAATCACATGTGAATAATTTTATTCATGCAATAAGTCATTAAAAACATGAATGAGTCAAATGTTAAGACACAGAAAATTCTTCTTCTTCTTCTTAAATGCGTTTTTCCAAAATCGGGTTGTTTCCATGAAGCAAATTTTCTTTCATAATTTCATTTTACAGAGTTTTAACATCAATGGAGACGCAGCTACTGATTTATTCTTGATTCTTTCTTTGCAGCTTCCATTCCTCAGACTCAGGAGGAAACCCAAGAGCTGGTGATCGCGGGAGGTTTGGACTTATGTTGGTTTGGGTTTGTTCCTGCTGGCAGCAGGACGACTCGCCCTCCACTCTGCTGCTGGTTCAGGTTTCAGGTTCAGCTCATCAAACTCCAGGACATAGATTCACCAAAAATCCACAATCAGAATCACTCCCAATATTTTTTTTATTTTTTTTTTATCATGACCCGATTTTGTGTTAGAGGAGGCCTTATGACCTTATGACCTTATGACCTCCCCAAAGATTGCCCCGTCTTCAGTCCCTATTGGACTTGGAGCTCCAGCTGCTGTGTGTTTTATGGTTTCCAGAAACTGAGTTCTGGAGAATGAGCAGAACTTGTTCTGGAAATATTTTGGTTTGTTACAAATGCACTTTGCCGAAAGCGCTACAGAAACGGTGCTGCTATCAGTGGAATCACGGGAGGGAAATATTACACTGAGAAAACAGTTTCTACCTCATAGAAGTAGCGCATAAACATGGCCGACCGTCGATCTTCCTTTGGCCAAAAGGTTGGTGGGACGATTTACGGCCATGTCACAGGTTGTGGTGTCGTTGAGCCAGACACCAAATCCCTGAACTAGCTACCTCGACGGCTCGGATGTAGGAATGTAGACTGAGGTCTTATTTTAAATAAGCTTGTTTACTTAAATGCTATGCATGGAACAAGGTCAGATGTTACTGATGTTTAACTGTGATGTGATTCGTCTAATTTTGAGAGACATCAATCAACAAAGTGTCAATAAGCAACAAACTGAATCCTTGAATAAGCTTCCTCCATGGAGGAAAAGGTATTAACCGGTTTCCATGGCTGTAAAGCAGGAAACATGGCGGACCATGTATGGCTCATCCTTCAGTTCAGAGGTTTGAGGCCAAAGAAACTCTGAGTCTCTTTGGCCTCAAACAGAAAACTAGATCACGTCTGAATGGCTTTAAGCTGTTAAAGTGGTCATAGAGGAGAAGTGCATTGTGGGAAATGGTGTTTTGTGGAAGAAAACTCAAAATGCCAGAAATGCAAAGATGCATGATGATCATTTTGGTAAAGAATACTGCTGCCCCTTGTGGTCAGAAACTGGAAAATGACCCAAACTGGAAACACAGCCGTAAATAAGATTTTTAGTTCAGCCTCAGTTTGAAGATCTGAACTGCAGATGTTACAGTTCTTTGTCTTTTTCTGTAATATTGAGACAATAATTATTGATGATGTTGTTTCAAGTCACTGAAATGACGACAGCTGCATTGATGTTCAGTTTCAGTTCAAAGCAGCAGAACAAATAAAAATGCTGAATGAATTTGAGACGATGAAAGTTTCTAAATCAAGAATCTCATCTTTAAATCTTTAAACTGAGTTTTCAACATGATGACGATCTGCTGGCCTGATGCACAACTGGCTTCATAAAAATGAACAGAAACAAACAAATTGTCATTTCTGGCTGTTAAAACATATAAAATATTCATTAGAATCAAATGTTGACCTGAATGGTTTAATTATTCTATATAATTTTTGGTGGTTCAATCCAACGACTTTAAATCTCCAGATTCTCTCATTAAACTTTATTGATCACTGATGTGAAAACAGCATCAAACCAGCAGCTTTGCTCTCATATTGAATGAAACATTTTCTCTTTCTGTCATTTATTCTCATGTTCCAGTTCATTTGCTAGAAGAAAACGTTCAGGGTTAAAAAATAGGACAAGTCATCATTATCTATATAATCACATCTGATCTATATGACAAATTCAAAATATTCCCAAACTGAAAATATTTCCTTCATGTTTTTCTGTAACTTTAATGTCAGTAAATCAATAAACTGATTGCAAACGTCTGTCTGTGTGAACATGTGGAGTTTTAAAGGTTAATTTCTACATGCAGTCTGTAGAAATCTCAGAGCAGCTGGAAAATTTTAGTTTCTAAGTTTTGAAAAAGTTGTGATTATAATATTTTTACTCATTTATGATAAATCCATGAAAACAGATAGAAATGATTATTTCAACAGTTTTTACTCTTGAAACACAGAGGTGGTGCTGGCATGATATGGGCTGACAGTCTGTATAATACATGTTTGACTTGTAATTATAACATCTACATACTAATATTATATTTATAAAAGCTTCTGTGTGTTAATGTTTATATAGAAGAGAAAAACAGGAGAATTAATAATTTTATCATTTTAATACACAAATTAAAATTACAATTAGGATTAACACTGATAGTGAAAAAGTATAAAAACAGAACAAATCAAACTGAACGGATCCAGTCGGTCCATCACTCAGACCTTCAGCTCTATAAGCTCACAGTTCCTAACTCCACCACCAGGTGGCGCTCCAGTAGAACCCTTGATGGTAGAACTGGTCTGATGTCAGATCCAGCAGCTGGACTGGTTCTGCTGAGGTCCAAACGGCTGCAGCTCATGTTGGATGTTAAAAGGTTCTGCAGAGAATCAGGTTCTGACAACATGAGGGAAGAAATCTGGATTTATTTACAGCAGAACCTTCAGAACCAGAACCAGTGGAGCAGATCCAGAACTTCACTGGTTCATCAGCTGCTGCAGCTTAAAGCATCTAAGATCAGGGCTCTGGTTCTGGTTCTGGTTTCAGGTTCTGGTTCTGGTTCCAGGTTCTGGTTCTGGTTCTGGTTGAGTCCAGAATGTCTGTCTCCAGCAGCCAGCGGGTCAGAACCAGAACCAGAACATCACTCTGCTGCTGGTTCATGAACAGAAGGAAGAAAATCAGATAAAACCTGAAAAACTGAACTTAACAATAAATAATATTATATTATTTTCTATCTAATGAAATTGTTTCAGTTTTAAAATCCTTCATTTAAATAAACATCAGAGAAAAGAGTTTAATGCTACAGATCAACAATCTGTAACTTTTGATTAAAGTGAGATGAAATCTATTGAGAAGTCATCGAAACTCTCTAACTCTTCATCATCAACATAAAAGTTTCTTTCTCCTGGCAGAAAATATTTCACTAAAACCCAATAGAAAAGTCCAATCAGAGCTGCTGCTATCAGTCCCACACTGATGATGATAATAATGATGATGAAGAGGCCAATCCTTCCTCGTCTCTCTGGTTCTGGAGTCAATCTTGGTCTCTGAGTTTGGATCTGATCAGCAGCTGCTGGGAGAGAAATCAGAAATATTTATTAATATTTGATGGAAACTGAGATCCAGGAGGATTCATGGAGAAGATGAAGATGTTGGTTCATCAATACAGGAATCAGAATTTATTAAAGTTTCTAAAAATATTTGTTTACATATTAATGGTTTCTTCTCACCAGTAACGTTGAGTCGACATCTTCCAGAGTTGAATCCATCTTTAGTTTTCACTTCACACAGATACCGACCAGAGTCTTCAGTCCTCAGTCTGGACACATGGAGTCTGATTCGTCCTTCTCTGAGCACGTCTTTGTCAATCTGGACTCGTCCTGAAAACTGTTCATGCTGAGAATCTGGAATCTCAACTCCTTCATGGACCAGATAGAGAACTCGTTCTTTTTCATGGCTCAACAAGCTGCAGTAGATGAACGATTTCCTCCAGGTTTCCTGAGTCTTGGTGGTGAAGGTCCACTCCAGAGTGATGTTCTGCTTCTCCTCTGCCTGATAGCTGCTCTGTGTCACATTTCACTACAAATGTTGCTGCTGAGGAGACAGAGAGGGAAAGAGAGGAGCAGACACACTGAGAACTGGAACATGGGAGTCTTTCAGCTCCATCTAGAGAGCTTTCTGTCACAAAGACAAGATGGAGACTGACCACAGAGACATGAGCTGAGGATGAGGAGCAGCAGGATGCTGGACATCATCTGGCTTGGAATAACATCAGTGAAATGATGAAGATCATCAGATGTTGATCAGCTGGTTCATAAACTTTCTGTCGTTTTTCATCAAGATGGTAGAAAAGTTGTTTTTAATACTGAAAAACAAAACAGAGAAAATATTGTTTTAAACAGATCTCTACTGCCACCTTGTGGTGACAATCAATGCAGCAGCAGAAAAACACCAGGATGTTTCAGGTTTTTGAAGCTTCTTAGTAAAATCAGTCTGAAGACAAAAACAACAACAACAACATCATGGGTCAGTGAAATCTGAAAACTTAATAAAATAATTTAGTTTTCTCATTTTACTGTTAAATAGAAATATAAACATGTTTTATATCTACATTGAACTAGTGAACAGAAAATCTGCACAAAATTATTGAGAAAACTTTAGTTTTTTCTCTCATTTTGTCATCATTCATATGGAGAGACTTCATATCTGATCACTGAGTTCAGGTAAAACTGTTATTTAGGAAATTATTTTGGTTATTTTCATCATTTTGCAGAGTCAAATATTTAATTTGAGTTTATTTGATGTTTTCAGAAACACTTCAATAAAGACAACTGAACAGAACTGCAGTCCCATGTTTGCATCCTAGTGCTGCTGCAGCCTCTTTGTTTTCCTCTTTTATTCTCTTATCTGCTGACAATCACAAGCTGCAGCTGCATAACCATGTTTATGTGTGACTCCCATCAGTCAGACATAAACAGACTGAATCTGGTTGGACTCCTTTAAGGAGGAAACAGTTTGCAGAGAGAAATGAAAGTTAAACTCGTCCTTCATTCTTCGTCTCTCTTGGTGTCATTCATAAGCTGAGCTCAGTGTGGTGCAGCGCTGGACGGAGAATCAAACTCTGTATCTGTTCCATCTGTATCACATTATAACATTTGATCATTTTCTGCATTAAAACCTGTTTTTATTTTAACTAAATCTCATTATTCTCAAGGTCATTTACACTCAGTGGTTCTGATCGGGTTCTGAAACTGGTTAATGGACCTGCTGGAGCTCAGAGACAAGATGATTGAACTCCAACAGAGATTATAGCACAAACTAAATCACAGAACTTTTCCTTAGATGGGCTTTTTAGACAGCACATCTAAAAACTAGTAAAAGTGTAGAAACTTAATCAATGTTTATTTTAAATCTTTGCTGATTCTCAGCTGTTATTTTTTATTACTTAAACGTTCAAAGTGCAGAAAGATTCTGATTACAGAAACTGATTCATATTAATTTCGAGCTGAATTAAGAAAACAAAACTTTCTGGTTGTCAAAACCTTTTTCATCTAAAATGAACGAATTCTCACTGCACTAAGCAATTAATGTCACAAATACATTTAACCTGATTTCTTCTTTAACTAATGTAAGCCAAGGCGTAAATTCAAGCTGGGAGACTCTCTTCAGCCAATCAGCATCATCATTTACCATCCCTCCTCAGTCAGAGGAAGGATGGTAAATGAGGCCACGCCTCTGCAAGTGAGCGGCGCCAAGAAACAGGTAAATGTTACTTGAGCTTCGCCCCAAAGAAGTGAACTACTTGGAGCCGATCATCCAAGATCACGGTGATTCTCAACATGCACGTCTTCTGCTGGTCTGAGAGCCAAAGAACTTCAGGTCAACTAAACTTTCTAACTGCTGCTTTTCTCTCTCCAGATTGAACTCATGTTTGCAGTTCAGGTTCATTATTCAGCTTGAGTCGAATTAAAATCTCCACCATTCAGCAGAAAATGATATAAAATCTTTGTTTCTATTATTGTTTGTGGTTCAGAAACAGATTCTCTAAATGTCTGTCAGAAACCAGAAAGTCAATTTATTATTTTAAATCTTTGGTGAAACAAAAGAAACCAGATTTTTACCATTTTTACAGGTTGTAACATATCAACAACACTAATTATTATCAAGCTGTTAAATATTTTCATTTTCATCTTAAACAGTAAAAAGAGTCAGAATAAAAACTGATCAACAATAAACTAGAACAAACTGACTCACCTGCAACCTGGTGGATAGAACCTGTGGAGTCTTGAAGTTTTTCCAGATCTATTCCTTGTTGACTGAACAGTTTCAGCTTCAAGAGGGTTTAAATACAATGTTCCCAGTGGGTGGAGTCACATCAGACTAAAATAGGATTTCAGTTTACTTCCTTTTTTAATGTCATCACAACAAACTCAACTTTCATGCAGTTTCTTTCCTTCTCTCTGGTTGACCACAAGATTCGCACATCAAACTCACATCTCACATGTTTCATATTTAATCTAATTCGTCACTTTTGTCAAAGCCTCAGATTATTTTTACATTAGTTGATTAATTTCAGAATTAATAATTTTTATACAATTCTAAGCACATTTTCAGCCACTAAAGCAGATTTTCACTTTGTCTCTGAACTTTAGTATGAACCACTGAAGATAAACATGATTAAAGCTCAGATGTCAGAAATGAAAATTAATCAGAATTAATAAACTTTTGCTCTAATATTATGACCAATAACCAGTTAATGATGCAAACAGGTTTAGAAGATTCAAATCAATAAACAGAAATCATGTAAATAGGGAGAATAATAGTAAACTGATTATTAATACATGAAAACTTCATGCAGTGAAACACAAAAGACCGACATAAAAATGAAAAATCTTTAAACTTTAACTGATGTAAATAAATAGAGATGAAACATATAAAATTGTATTAATAATGCAAAACTAAATAATGCTGTTGTGCATTGGAGAGAATAATATTTACTAAGATAAAATATAAGTACATAAATTAGAATGAACACAGATAAAAGATAATAACTGAAGTTTAGGTAAAATTCCTTCATTGTTATGACTCATTCAACACCCTGGAATGTTTTTCTTGGTCTACAAGGTATGAAACAGGAAACTTGACACAAGAATCTGCTCAAAAGTATTTGAACCTGCTCCAAGGTCATGCATGTCCCTTTGACAAAAGCATGATGTGTTTTTTGCAAAGGAAACTTCCTGAGTTAACAGGAAATAAATATCAAACATGCTGATTCACCTGCAGCAGTTTGTTACAAAGACAACATTCATTTATAAACATTATTTGATTCTTTCTCTGTTCAGTTCAACTTTCAAAACTCTAAAGATCCTCATTCTGACTTTTCCAGTCAGAGCCTCTGATCTGATCATTCAAAGTAAAACATGTTTTAATTTCACTGAGTATTTTATTCAATGATAAATGAGCTGAAGTTTCTCCTTCAGAAGCTGCTATGAAATGATGGCAGGTGAAAAATCATGTTAACATTGTTAAAGTTGATGCTTTGCTAAGAATGTTGGAGCAAATAAGATGAAAAATGTTTCAGTTTCATCTCCATCATGTTTCTCAGTCTCTAACAGCAGAAACGTCTCAGAGACGCATCAGGTCACATGTAGAAAACAGTTTAACCTGAAAACCAACTTTCAGAAACAAATGGAGGATCCAAATGTCTCTTTCTCAAACACTGAGACACTTTGACTCTATTACTCTTTATTTCTCCTAGAACAGATTTTATCATCATACAGTCAGTGTGATGGTGTAACTCTGCAGGAATCTGCAGCAACACATCACTATAAACATCAGTGGATGATCCCTGTCCTCAGACAGACAATGTGTGACAAACTGAACCAACATTTCTGAACAGTGTCTGTTTGGGTCACACAGAGCTTGATGAACATCAGAGCACAGTGATGATGATTCCCTGTGTGATGACAGACCGGTGAAGGTTTGACAGGAATATTTGTTTCATTATAATCCTGTTTATTGATCCTTAAGATCATTAAGATCATAAAGTGATTATTTATCACCAACATATCAGCCTGATCTCTACTTGAAAAAGCCAGGAGTTAGTATTTTATAGCTAATTGGTTAATGGCCTGTTATTGTTTTTAGTTTTTAACTAAATTAGTTTTACTGTCAACATAAATCCTCAGTTAGATAATTAAACCAGATTCATGCTTCATTTTTGTTGACTGTTCTGCTATTTTAATGTAATTAAAAACAAACTGCTGCTCATGTGAATCGATGTGTTTGAACAATTCACCCTAATTTTATTATCATACTGAATATTTCACTCATTCTGCAGCAGCAACCAGTTAGTGACTCTGAAATTATTCACCAGTGTTATGGTTTCATCCAATCACTGACTGACTTCATGTCTTTTATACCAAAGGCCAAACATCATTTGTGTGTGTTTCTCATACATGGGCCAGACGTGGCCGTCGAACAGGCCAGGTGGGTCAGGCACCTTGTAGTTCCTCGAGGACCTCCTCTTTTTGCATTCTTCGTAGGGGATGGACATAAAGTAACGCTGGTTAAACACGTCAATCAAAGGCTGATAGGTGTAAAGCAGAAAGCCCTCCACAATAAGGATGTGAGTTGGTCCAAATGGTTTTCCACTTGGATCCCTTCCTTTGAGGATGTCTCCAACCGGCACTCACTGAGAGTGTCTGTAATCAGAACTGTGACGATGATGATGATGATGATGATGATGATGATGATGATGATGATGATGATGATGATGATGATGATGATGATGATGATGTGATGATGATGATAATAATAATAATAATGGAGGAACTGGGTTCCTGTCTAAGAAAGAAATTCAAATAATTTATTATTTAGTTAAAACTCCAACTAAACACAATAACTTTTATCCATTGAGACATTAAATATATTCATAGTTTATTAAACTTAGCAAAGGTTGATGAGGATTTGCCAATCATTAGATTCTGTTTTTATGTTTTACACAACAATCCAACTTCAATGGATTTGGGATTATAGGGATTATAACAATTTTTCTTACACGATCTGAAATCTGACTTTTTTTAATTCAAACTTTGTGACATGTTTGGTTATAAAAAATGTAATTCTCATTTTTTAAATTTATATATTGGATCATCACTTGCATAACCCAATTTAATATTTTATTTCTGATAAATTAATATCAGATGATGTCAGCACTGAAATTGTTTCTTTTACACATTTTTCTGTTGTTGATTCAACCAAAAACAACAGATTTATTATTTTTACCAGTAGCAGAGAACATATGTTTTGTGTCTTTCTTAATCTAAATATTAAAATTCATTATTAATGCATTAATGCATTTTGTTACTCAGCATAAATCACTTTATCAGATGATGTTTATAATGTTTAATGTTGTAAATTAATCCTAATTTGTTCTCAGACCTTCATCAAAATGTTTTTATATTGTTAATGTTTCCAGAACTTTAATTAAATATTCTAATGCAAACATTTTCTTTTTCTCAAGATCTACAGATTAAATTAACAAGTTAATGAGAAACTAAATAAAAAAATATATCAAAGAACTTCAACAATAAACTCTAAACCTGAAACTTGGAGCCAGTTAGATTGTTAACTTCTGAATGAAAGTGTAATTAGTGCAACTTTATTCACAGGTGGAGCCACAAGAAATGCAACAACAGTTTTGTAAAGTTTTTTCCTCTTTATATGATGATCACATGACCTCCAGGCAGGCCTTCATGATAATGAATAAGACATTCAAGATAAATACACAAAATTACAGAAACAATAAATAAATAAATAAATTATAAAGTCTTTATAAACAAACTTGTCCTTCAAAAAAGGTTGAGACCAAAACACCAACTGAAGAGTTTAGTCATTCAGTTTTTAGAGAGAAAAGAAGAAAACAGTAAATGATGCAAATAGAAAAGATTGAGCTTGTTTTCATTTATCATTATGAGATTTATCATTATTTATCATTATGACAGGATGAACTGCAGGCTTCTTGTAACGTGGCAAATGTTTTCTACACCTTCACTGAATCAAACTCAAGGATTTTTTATTTTCTTCAGTAGGAATAAAAACAAACAAACTGGTTCTCCCTGCAAATGCCGCTACCTGCAGTCTGCAAAGATTTACATTTCTATCTTGTTTGTTTTCACTGTTGTACAGTGACTCATTCCTCCTCCAGTTATAAATAGAAGCTGAACTTTAAGGTTTATTTTGCTTCACATTCTGATGTTTTTCTCTCCTCAAAATCATCACATCATCCAAGTGATCGATATAAAAACAAAAGAGCAGATCATAAATATTCTTCTATTTAATGTTAACTTCCTACAGATTGTTGCATTAGTACTGAAGATGAAACAGAGCTGAGCTGCAGGATTAAAATGTTGATTTAAGGTCAGAAACTAAAAGGATAAAAACATTTTATTGAAGATTTTCTGTTTCTGAGCTTTGTTGAGACAGATCTGTGTTTTCAGGGAGACAGAAAGTTGAAAAGCTGCAAAGTGTTTCTAAAGAATGAGGAAGAAATTATTGGAGTAAATATGAGATTATGTTGGTAGGATGAATATAGGACTGAGATCAGGACTTTGTGGAGAACAAGAGGAATTTATTGCTGTAAAGCCACTTTGGCTGTTTTACAGAGCAGGTTCATATTTTACTTCTGCATATTGTGAAACACCATAACAACATGACACATCGTTGTTCAGATGCTGGGAAACTATTCAGTAACACTTTATGCAACTTCACTGAACCAGTTGTTACTTTTAGTAACCGGTTGTTATTTTTAGTCTGTAAACTAAATGTCACAAACTTAATGCCTGATATTAGATATGTGACATAAAGTTTGCATGCAAGATTCAGTTCTGCAGTTCTGTCTTCATGAACAATTTATCTCTAAAATTATTTTCATTTTAATGTTCATCAGATTTTCCTCATTCATGGTGTGAGAAAGTCAAACAGCTCATCAGTTTCTCTTTTGTTACAGCAGGAAAACTTTGATTCAGTCTCTCTTCAGACTGAACAGTTTGATCTTGGTTGATGCTTTTTGTTCTGCAGGTTTTTGTTCAGAAACTTCTTGTTACTTTGAGTTATTCAGATTACAGGAAATCGAACAACCTGTGAATAATATAATAATAACAGCTCAGCTCTATTCTGATTCATATTTTACTGATAAATAATTTAATCCTGAAAAACTAAACAGTCATATAAATTCAACATTTTATTTGCAGAAGATTTTGGTAGAAAATAATTTATCATAATTTTTTACTTATTGATTGATTAATGATTTACTGTGTGAAAATCTA